CCCCCCCCCAAGATGGTTTGTTTCGTTTTTTTAATCTTTTGTATTTTTCTTCTTTGGCTTCGAAACACGCCCCGTACAAAAATGCAGCGCATCGGCTCGACGGCCTCTTCGAGAGTGACACGTGCATGCATGTGTGTATGTCTGAGTGCGCACGATCATATTTATATATTTATATATTTATATATATACGCGCGTTTTTTTCCCTCATAATTATAACGTAACAGCTACCGAAGAATCACGGATATGTACAGTCAGGGATATGCCCGGTCGGCGCGTTTAAGCAATTTTTTTTTTCTTGGCTTCTCGCACGACCTCCTCGAGGATAATTCACCGTTCGATCTCTGTTGTGTTCCTGTCGATCTCTCCGCGCTCCATCGTCTCCTTCCGCTCCTTCTTCATCCGGGCCGTTCGTGGCCGACGGAGAAGAGGAAGAAGGAGCCGCCTTAATACTGCATCGTTTACGTAGGTTCGGCTCCTCGATGGGGAGCTCGCTCAGTAGAATCCTTAATCAGAGTGGTCCCAAAAATATTAAGAAATAGTCGTTTCGTGCGCGCGCCGCTCAATCCGCGATAGCCACCCTTCAGATGCGTCCAACGAGCCCTTCGGAGTCGGCCACGAAGAGGGAAGGGAAGGAAGTCGGTCCGTCGAGCGTGGACGTTGTCGAGTTTCAGTCGTAGAATTTCATTGGAATGATATGCTACGTGCGTCTCTGTGATTTTATATTTATTACGCAACGCGAAAAAATGCCGCGGGCTATTTCCTTTTATTCGCCGAGAATGCGCAATCTTCGCGGTCGCTTTAACGGTAAAATTCTGTCGTCTGTCGCGCGTTGCATCATGGAATCAAACAAATCTTTAATTTAAACGTCAAATAATACACCGGTTCTCAGAACGAGCCGTCGAAGAAAATTTAGAACTGAAGTAATTAATTCGACGGCTATAACAACGGGCGATGTAGTTAACGAAACAATCACACGATTATCTCTGACGTAAAATACCTCCATCGTTGACCGTCATATTTCGATTCAACCACTTTTTGATCTCGCTGCGACGAGACAAAATTGACTCACATGATTTCGCGTAAAAAGGTGAAAACGCGATGAATTAATTATTATAATTTTAAAGACTCGAAAAAATCCATTTTTCCGCAGTTTTTTCGGTCACTTTAAAGAAAAGGGGGAAAAAGTTTTTTTTTTTCAACTATATTAATTATCGCGCGTTGCAACAGAATTGACATCTCGCAGGGAAATTCCCGATTTTAATCGGCCGTTTACGCGGGGAATCGCGTAATTTTCGACAACGTTCATGCTCGTCGGACGCGAATCTCTCACTCGTACGCCGGCAGCTCGTTGTAACGTTCTGCGGCGGCACAACGACGAACGGTCACCGGTTGCAACCGAGAAGTAACGGCCGATAAGACCCTCGTCCGTTTAGTCGATGATTCTCACGATGTGGGGGGTTTAGCCGGAGGTCCAAGGAGCGTCGAATATTAATTACAATAATTAATTATCGTTATTAGTAGCCATTGTTCGTTACTGCTTATGTACATAACGTTCCACAAGAGATGCTGCTCCCTCTCTCTCTCTCTCTTTCTACGTGTATATATTAAAGAAATACTGCTGCGGCGTATTTACCGGGATACACTTTGCTCTTGCTTCTAATTGCTGCTTTTAACCGCAAAGTACCGTAAAGTACACGTATAATATATATGCTTGTATTGTACTCGCCAAGTTCGCGGTTCGCGAACATCGGTTCTCCCGACCGATCGTCGACACTCGGGGAACGTCAATTTGCGTCGCGATCGTTCGCTCGTACACACGAGACGACCGGATTGATTTAAATATCGACCAACTACAACGGGACTCTAACGTATTCTTAGGCTCCCGTGGACGCGAACGTCTTTCAAGAAGACAACGGAATAAGATAGAAAGAGGAAGAAGAGAGTATAACGGCGAATACGCTAATCGAAGGGCGTTCCGTCCTTTTTTTCCTTTTTCGTTTCGTCACAAATGTAGAAATATTATCCGAGGGTTTGCGAGTGGGCAGCGGGCGACATATTTTCTGAGAAGCGACACGCGTGGGTCGCGCCCTACAACGTGCTCGCAATATTGTCGTGAGTAAATACGACACGGTCGTCGGATCAGACGCGACGGCCAGCTCGATCTACGTATCTGCGAGGATGACTCTACGATACGGGTGATCGCGATTCGACGTTACCTGGGCAAACTGCAAACACCGGTGCGACCCGTATCCCGTGTGTTCTCGGTGATTCGACATTGCGGGCCAATTTGGATCGCGCCTTCCGATCGCTGGCAGGTACGACGGTCACGTTCACGCAGTGCCGATCTACGCCCCTAATGGAAATTACTTTATCGAACGACATTTCCTCTTGTTTCCTCTTTTGTTCCTCTGCTTCTTCATCATCATCATTACCTTCTTCTTCTTCGTATTATTCTTGGGGAGAGATATACGTATAAATATAGTTGGCCTACATGTTCGTCCCTTATCACTTATTCCGCCTGCTCGCGTTTGCTCATTGGTCTCTCGTGGAGATATGTGATTACGTATTTTTTCGGAGATACGGAGGTAAACACCAGCGTGAAGGAAGTAGCATCCAAAAATATACAGAGCTCCCCCCAGTGACGTCGCGAAGTATCTTAGGGGGGTATCGGGATATGATTCGCGAATACATCTTTCTCCCTCGAGTGGGCATTAAAAAATCCCGGCGTTTTCGCGCCGATCGACATCAGTGTAGACAGCTTCTAAAAAATCAGTCGGCGGGGGCGTCTCGAAAATATATAAAATATCTAGAACGACTCGCAACTGGAAGACGGGGCAAGGCTATTCGCGACCTCACTGGCGTGCGACGTGTGATTCCGGTATTTTGTTTCTCCCGTTATTTAATTAACGTTATTCAATTAAAAAATAGCGGAATTAGCTTCGGGAAAATTAGGCTGCCGGCTTCTCGGACGCGCGTCGACCGCGCGAGGTGCGCGCCCGTTCGCGCGCGCGGTCTCTCTCGCGTGAAAAAATAATTGAACAGCGCGATTTAGCATAGCACACACACACACTCGAACGCGAATTTCTCCATTTCGACACCCCTTGGTCTCGTATATATTTACAATCACTACGTAATGTGTATATATATGTATATATATATATGTCATATGTATACGTTCGCTAAACAGTTAGGAGAGAGGGACGGTAATCGAGAATGCAACATCGATCTACCCTCTAGCGTTAACAATATATAGTAAATATGGTCTTTACGTTAGCAATATTCGTGTCGAATATACTTTTACGATGCACTTTCTCTCTCTCTCTCTCACCGAATTCTACCCGGGCTCCTTTATCACATGATCGATCAGACGGAGAAACGAAAAGTGATCGTTCGAACGTTTGAATAGAGCGAAGTGTGAACGAAGTGAGAACGATATAACAGCGACATATAACTTCGTCACAGAGGGCTTTCGCGCCGAAAGCGTAAACTCGTATCAATGTAAAACGTTCAGGTACGACGTTGAAACGATAAAGACGCGACTTGCCGACTTGATGCGAAATGGAGGAGAGAAAGACAGAGACGAGAAGTCGCATGAAGCTGCGAATTCCTACGGAGACACGGGGAACGATTTTATCGCCGGCACAGCAAACTGTTTCTCACTGCGGTGGCGGTAAAGAGATTTCTTACACCGGGGAAAAATCATGTTGCCGTTGTAGCGAAAACGTCGTTGCGACAGCAATACAATTCAGTCGGCATGGTTCGGAATGAATACTCTTAACAGATCTCTTTCGCCGTCACTGTAATAGCAAACAATTCGCCAGAAACTCGCCGGGCAAGAAATTCTTCCCCGTCGATACATCGAGCGGGTGGACGATATCTTTCCGACGCCTTTTCCCGAGCGGAAAGCACGCTGAAAAACGAGAAGCACTTTCCGACCAATGCGTCTACACGCGAACGTCTCTGATCTTAGATTCACGCTCGTTAGAATCGTACGTTGTTTTGGCAAAGTTTCTTTCGAGATCGCGAGCGATCACCCGTTGAGGGTGGACAGCCGCGGGTCTCCCACGCTCCCTCCCGCCCTTATTATTCGTTGTACAAAAATAATAAAATCAGGCGAGACGTGGCGCTAACTTCTCCGACGCGCCAGCGCGCCGATCAGACGCGGCCGTCCGCCGTCTGACAAATTTACCGCCACGCTGCGCGAAATAAGAACTCCCGTTTGCCGCGACTACGATGATGCGCGATCACGGCGGTCGTGTCGGCGAACTCAAGGGGGGACTGAAGAATCGTCGCCTCTACCACTTAATGATCGTGTGATCGTCACCGGCTGCTTGCGGGACCGACGTGCTATGTGCGGAGACTTTTAAAAAATTCCTGAAAATGACGGCGCGATCGAGTGGTCTTCGTCGCGACTATCTTTCTCGCGGTAATCACCCAGCCTGCTGACGCCGACTCTACGGCGACTTCGTATTCGAGCATCGCGCAGGGGTGATCGAGTTTTCGTGTGTCGCGTTATTTTCCCGGACATTGGTGCCTTCCGAAGGATCCCTCTGTTCCCTGAAGGAACCACACACGCCCGCTACATGTTCGGGATCGTATCCGCTCACGCTCAATGTCGCCGTGAGCTCTCGATGATAAGAAAACGCTCGGTTTTCCTTCTTTGGTGAGATCGTATTCGACTATATCGATCGTGTCCCGTCGAGTTTCTCTGCTTTCGAAAGACCTACCGATCGTACAACTTGTCGGGACGTCGTGACGCTTCCACCGTGGAGGATTCCTCACAGCGCGACGTCCTTCGATTTCCCTAGCCAGGCCCTACCCGCGACCGCAGCTCGACGGGATCGGCATAGAATCGTTATCGCAGGATCAGGACTAGATGAGGACTAGATTCCGATCGGGTAATTGGACTACGTGCTTACAATTGGCTTCTCCGAGCGGCGAAGATCGATGATATCGACGTCGCCCTTGACTGCCACTATGACTTCCAAACTGTCAGTTTCCTTAACGACACTTTCTTCAGGTGAAGAGCGGCGTTCAGTATGTCGGACTCGCGAGTGTCCTCGCCGTCGGAGTGGACCTCGCGGTGCCTGCGTCCCGACATCTGCCATCGTCCCGGTAATCGGTATCTCAAACCTCGCGAGGTCGGGTCGGACAGTACCCCCGAAACCGGCACCTTCTCCTTGCTGGACCCCGGCAGCGACACCGATCTGCCCACGGAGAATCCCTTGCTGAGTCTGTCGAGGGTCGCCGGCAGGAGGTGTCGCATCCTCGGGATGGCCTGCTCTCGTTCCCTCATGATGAACCTGCCGAGGGTCTTCCAGAACGCCTGGGTGCTGTAAACGTTCTCGTCGTCGCGCAGCACCCTCAGTTGCCGGTTCCCGCTGCCCACGGCGCCCGCGCCACCCCATTCCAGCTCCTCGACCAGGGCGAACTTCATCGGGTCCTCCATTCTCCGAGCCTTCACCAGGGCTTGCGCCAACACGTCTTGGGCGCAGCTGCTCACCGGCACGCGTAGGATCGCGTAAGGGATCTCGGGTGACACGTTGTAGATGCAGACGAGAAAGGTGTCCGCCTCGTCCCATATGTGGGTGGATTGGTCCCTTGAATTGGAGTCGTTGAGCTTCGAATGGCCGGCCGTGCTTCTGATGGAGGCCAACCATGCCCTGCTGCTCGGGTCGTCGCCCACTCGCTTCAGAAGGAAGCGACCTTGGCCCTTCCACTGGGCCTGCGCCTGAAGCGGGTGTTCCGTAGGGTCCAGCACGCGTTGGGTCGGCAGCTCCTCCCTGTCCCTCTTCTCCCACCCACGAAACACCTCTTCCACCAGAATGTACTCGTCTACGTGGTCGGGCGAGATCCCTGCCTTCTGCAACGCCTGCAGCATCACCTCCTGCGTGGTGCTCTCCTGGGTTACCTTGAGGATGGTGTAGGGCTCCTCCGGTATCACGTGGTAGACCATCAGGAAGAACATCCGTCTCTTCAGGGTGACGCCTCCCAGGCCGGGATCGACGGTGCTGAGTTTCTCGGGCTCTTTTCCCGACGAGAGACGCTTCGACGACTCCTTGTGGTCGCGGCAGCAGGTGTTGTAGTCCAGGCTCTCTTCCTCCATTCGCGAATAGATGAAGAGGGTGGACAGAGCCAACGGCTTGTTCTTGCAGGAACGTAGTCGCACGTGCCGGTAACCAGGTCGCAGGCATTTCAGCGGTACAACGCGCTGCGCGATCAGATGGTGCGAGCTCGCCTCGACCACGCCGAAACGCAGGAAGGCGAGGTCCTTGAACATCACTTGGAAGCAGAACTTCTCGTTCCAGATCGGATTCACCGCGTTGTTCTGGATCACTTTCGTCTTGTGCTTCGCGCAGTCGATCGGTATACCAACCAGCTCCACTTCGACGTATGTACTGGTGAGGAAGTTGGTCGACGAGACATATTGTCCCGAGACTATTGACAGACTCAAGTGTGCCGAGTGCAGCCCGTCGAACTCCTTGTCCCATGGGTTGAACCGCCTGTCGACACGTATTTGCGATTGTTCGATGAGAGAGAGCACTCGGGAGTCGCTATTTATAATTCATGAATCAATCGACTTCTCGCAACGCGTACACGTATACTGCAGCGCAAACCGTGCGCTTTGGAAAGAAGCACGTTTCTCAATCCCTTGGACACGTGGAAATCTTTCTTCAAATACAGCGAAGGAAATCTAATTTCTTTAATCGAAGATAAATCATTTTTGAAAATCAGTTGAAAATATTCTTATATATTATTGCTTTCATTTAATATGTAACGTCTAATTTTGATCTTTAAGAATTTTGATGTATATTTTACCGCTCGTGACAATTTAACATCGGTTATTCGGCAGTAATCTGCCATTTTTAATTTAAGAATATTATAATGCGTCATAACCTATTTTTTTTTTATAGGCAATACAAAACTGCAGTATACTTTTACCTCATTCATTAAGTATATTATCACTTTGACACGATTAGGAAATCGATCTTGATAATAAGAGGCGTAACGAGGTGCAATAAGCTCACCTATACATCATATGTCCTTTGTCCCACATCACTGAAGGTTTCCTCACGTATCCGCATTGACCATTTTGCTCGAACATGGCCGAGTTCAGATTCAATCCCGTATCGTCGGTCTGATAGTTCAACGCGACCATTTGAATTCCGAAGGCCCAGAATATTACAGGATTGAAATTTGTGGAATCGATACGCATTCCTGCGGGGTACGTTCGAATGAGTTGAGTCTCCGCATGGGCGACTACTCCTAGCGGCTGCTTCCTGCAGATCTTCTTCGCCGTGCTCTCGTTCAGAGACGAACATTGGAAGCAGGCCGGCACTCCGCGAGTAGATCTAACGACAAATAAAATCATTCTTCAGATTTTTTTGTTTACAAAACCAGCACTAAAGATACGATTCGTACGACTGAAAAAAAAAAAAGCAATCGGATCAACACAATCGGCAGTCACCCACATTCAAAAAAAATTTCATTGATTCAACCACTTTTTTTCTTCTTAGAACGAAGATGCAAGACGATGCGATACAAATATTTCGGCTAAGGTCAAAAGTAATTTAGACAGGGTGATTTTAAGATCAAATGAAAAGGGGACAATCTGTGACACCGAGGACGAGCGCGATAAAATTGCTTTGCAAAAAAAAAAAATTATATATATTTATCGTAAGCTCCGCTCGCGCGAAAGAGACCAACCTGAAGAGATTATCGATATTGCTGCCGCCGCTGGCGAGCGAGGCGGACGTCGAAAGCGACTGCGGCGATCCCGAGGAGGAAGCTATGCTGCTGGGTCCTATACCGGCGATACTGTGCCTCTGCACCGGTCCCGTGTGCGACTGGTGGCGTGTTTTCCCCGGTACCGCCGTGCCGGGCGTGGTGTTCAATCCGCGGAATTTGATCGCCTGCAGATAGATCACCAGGTCCGACAGCTCCTTGGCTATCTGGCTGCTCTGCTTCTGCGATTTGTCATCCACCGCCGGGTCCAATTTTAAGCGGCAGTGCGGCACTTGGCTGCCGCCCAGGTACCTCTCGTAGCTCGAGATCGAGTTATCTGTAAAATTGCGGCCTCGGTTATGGTGTTGCATGGCGGCGATCGCTTCGGTAAATTTTTAATCGCCGCAATTACGATATTTTCCTCGGACGCGATCGCAGGGATTTACGTTCGCTCGCGGTAAACTCGGAGATAAGCGGAGCAATTAAGTGGAACGCGGTAATAGAAGGTGCGCTGTACAGCGCAGAGTTGCACGGCACAACACGGCGTATTTAGGTTAAACCTGGGCTCAGAAAAGATTACGAGAACGCGAGCTTCGATATTCTTTGGGAAGGTATCGGGTCTGAACTCTCCCTCTCTCTCTCTCTCTCTCNCTCTCTCTCTCTCTCTCTCTCTCTCTCTCTCTCTCTCTCTCTCTCTCTCTCTCTCTCTCTCTTGGTGCTCCGCGAGATCAATTTCTCCAATGCGACTCGACTTGGTCTGTTCTTTTTAGCTGAATTGGCTGCACTTCGAAAAATTTACGCACACTGGAGCACGAGGATCTCGTACGTACGCTTCGTACGTCGCAATGTGTATGTACACAGGAAAGAAATAATCTGAAATCAATGATAAATATTCTCATGTATAACAACAATATAATAATATTCTTAGAAGATTTTTAGTCTTGAATTAAATTCAAGTAATCATCAATATAAATTCCATCAGATCAAAATTAAAAGTCATCTAAGAAGATTATAATATTCTTGCCTGTACATGAGAATATCTGTTCTTGATTTAATTTTTTTCTGTGCACACGTTTTGAACTAGTGCGACCAGTTCAGCTGAAGAGGACAGACCAGATATATCTGACGGGTGGTTGCACCGTCCGTCGTTCTTACCGTCGATATTGTCATCCTCGTCGTCATCCTCCTCGTCGTCCTCGTCCTCGCTGAAGTACTCGACGACCGACGTGCTGCTGACATCGGTCCGCATTTGCTTCATCGAGGACGCGCGATCCGACATCAGCATTTTCCCGCGATGACTGAGGGGCACATGTGACAAGGGCCCGGTAGGGTCGACCACTAGCTTCTTATTCTTTATCAAGATCCGGTAACGGAGCTGCGACGGTGACGGTAGCTGCGGGTCGTCGCTGAAGTCGGTCTCGAAGAGGAATTTCGTCACCAATTTCTCACCAAAAACGGACTGTAACGACGGATCCGTCGATCGTAATTCGAGCTACTTAAGCGCGACGATAATGGCGCGGGTAATTTATTGAATAATTAACGTACCTGAAATATTTGGGCCATGCGAGCCTGCTGGTTCGGCGAACAATGATTCTCGATGGAAAGGATCACGGGATAGGGGGAGCAAACGAATGCGCTTCGATCGATCGCCTCCACCACCGATCGGAACGGTATTTTGGTGGTGAATGTGTGACCGTGATAAATCAGCGGGGACCCGTCGTCGCCGTCCCAACAGTCGAGCTCTACGCAGCGGCATCCGGTTAAAAGTACCTAGAAATATTTTCGTTATTTCAGCCATTGGACCGCACTTTTGTTTTAGTTATGATTTGCTTGAACAGAGAGTTCAAGTTACTTGTTTTGAAAAGTTTTAAAAGTTGAAAAATTACTTGTTTCGATTTTATCCGGTGAAATCAAATTTTTCATCCAATGTGAAGTATCCAATCTCTTTAAATTAATATAATTTTTTGCACAATTCTTATCACAAGATATACAGAAGAAATGTTTATTAATTAAACGAAATATTAAAACTTCCTTGGTTTAACGAAGAAATTTAACGGGCCTTTAACAGCAAAGCACGGATATTAGGATCATTTAAATATTGTTTATCAACTAATTTTTCTATCGGGTAGCGCGCGTAGTCATGAAATAATAACGCGCGTAATTAATTAATTACGACGATATCGTCGTGGGAATTTTCCACACGCCTCTTAGTTTTACCAAACTTTATTCCTCGCGATGGGGATCTATTTTTAACGGTTATAGCCCACCTGTGAATACAATTGCACGGAGGACTCCCCTTTGAGCTGATGCCCGGTCAAATAAGTGTTGTGAGAGCTGGCGATGTAATATTGCGACAGCGGTTGTTGCATCTCAGTCTCGGATGGTGTCGCGTACTCGTTCGGGAAGGCATAATTGTCCTTGTCCATCATATACCGTGCAAAACCCTCGAAAGACAAACACCACTGTGTGCGAAGTGCTGGGTCCGGTTCGTGCCTCTGAAATGGGAGTAAACAGGCTCGCTTGATTGTGTTACGTCGCATACGGTCGCGTGCGTATTGCGATGTGACGGTCGCATGAACGAGGAAGTTGCACTGTCTCCGGGCAAAGGTAAATTGAAATCACGATTGTTCGAAAGCGACGGGGTTCGCTGGGATCGAAGGGAAAGATTGCCCGTCGTCTTTGCAACGAGAACACTCCGCCCGCGAAATTTAACGCAAACATGTGTTAATCGTGTCCGTTCGACCTGTGATACTGAATATTAATTTCGTGCCAGCAGAAACTCCCGACGGTACACGAGATAGCCGAAACACCTGGATATCTTCTTTTTACACCTTGACTTTACTCCCGGCAAACATTTACCTTAATCAGCGCCTTGATGTTCTCGTCACTTAGTTTCTCCTGCTGCCGGGATTCCAGGAATTTCGTGAATGTCGCCAAAGTGATCACTTGGGACTTGGATGTCTCCACGCCGGAGCAGTTATCGACTATGCTCGATGCCGCGACGGCGTCGAAGATCTGCTTCTTCTGCAGATTGACGTTCGTCTTGTACTCGTTACAGTCGATGGAGTTGTTCCTCGTCAGCAAGCCTGTCACATTTGCGAACGTTGATTAGACGACGTTTGCAACCCTCTTACTTTCGAAGATCGAGACCGATGTAATTTCGGAATTCAATTTCGAGCTGAATTTTCGCAGGATCACGGAAGATAGAGGAAGACACGAAGAACTGTTCACGAGCGGGAATTATCCTCCGGTGCGTCTACCGCGTCCGGAATTGAAATGCACCGCGAAATTACATTACAAATTTCGATCCCTGTTCACTCACCGATTCTCTGCGGAGTGGCGTCGCTGGTCTGTCTGAGCACTGCCGGTCGCATGCTGAAGTCCCTCAACGAGCCGTCGCTCTGGCTACGACACGTGATCGCCAACTGACCGAACAGCTCCTTCAGGTCCTTCCGGGCCCGTAAACTGAACGAACGGAAAAGCGCCACGAACTCCACGAAATTTAACTGCGTCTCGTACATAATCGAAGTGTGTTGCGCTTTCACCTGCCAAGGGGCCTCCGAGCCTCCCGGTATGCCACCCGCTCCGTTCTTGTCCTTTTCTCTGGCGACACATAACAGACTACGCGCGCGTTATTGCGAGGTGTACGAAAGAGAAAGGGCAAACGATCGAGACAATTTCATCTTGAAGTGTAAAGACGAAAAATCAAGACAGAATATAACACCATGAAGAGCTAATCACGGATATTCTTACATATATAATGTAATTTTAAATGTCATTATTAATATCGTTGTGCGCGTTGTGGAAGGGCAACGTTTTTCGCGCAACATAGGGGAGAGCTGCCGAATTTGAACTGGCTCCCTAAATCACCGTCGTGTATATTGAAAAAGAGAGATATTTGCAGTGTCATGGTTGACTACAGGACTGGCTTGAGAAGTAGAGCGAGACAGCCGCTCCGCCTAGTTTTGCTGAGTTCTGAAAAGTAGTGGTACGCGAACAGATACACGGCGATTTAGTCTAGGAGCCGGTTTAAATTCGGCAACTCTCCCCTAATAAGTAGAGTCACTGAATTGCGTACGTAATTTAATTAACAACTGGATAAGAGTTTTTTTTTAACAAGAGAGGGGATTTCAAATAACGAATATTACTGGGATTCAAAGAAGGCTGCCTCCACGTTCGGTTGCCCGAAAAAATTCGACAAGTTCGCGACACACGATGGATAATTTCACCCTTCCATAATAATATTAATAATGACGTTGTTAATATTTAAAATAATACTAGAACATCCGTGCTCGACTCGTCGTATTATATTCTATTCTATCGAAACAATTATACGTGAATTCAGATTTCGATCCACAATAAAGTGATACAATTACGCGGTGCAATTTCTCGTTTTACCTATTGGGACTCGAATACAATTCTTTGTTTCCGACATTGTTCTCAGTCTCGAGAGAGCGTGTAAGCGTGTAACTGATGTACCTTTGAAAGGTGGAGTAAGGCAGGTTGGAAGAGACAATACGCTCGGCCGAGCCGGGCGGACTACGGGGCGGGATTCGGTCTCTGGTTGCTCGCGGTGACGCCGGTATGATCCTCGTGAGGGATTCTCTGCTACCGGCGATGTGACGGAGGGTGGCTAGACCGTCCGAGGAGTCGTACTTCTGACTCATGTCCTACGTTCAAAACGAGACCGTTCAATTCGGCGAATAACGCGTCGTCCGTCATCCGCGCGAGAATGAAGTAGAAACGTTTTCCGCATTTTCGCGCGGGATTGCACGTCGACGTTTGACGTTAAAAGGAACCCGAGGCGGGTGGCCTGCATGCGCACCTTGGTCAAAACGTGAATGTTGCCGATCGATTTGGTCTTTTTGCCTTTGACGTTTCGTCTGCGCAAGGTGCTGCTGCTCGTCGGCGACAGCGTGCCGGCGCTCTCCGTCAGCGACGACCAGTCGCGACCGCCGAAGATGCGTATCGCGTCGGCCGTGATCGGGCTCGAGCCGTTCTCCTCGAAGTACAGCTGAAGATACTTGTCCTTCAGCCAGCGGGATCTACGATCCGTTAGCTGTTGCTGTCGTTTGAGGCCTCGCAATATCCAACACAATCCCATATACCATATTCTGCAAGCGGAGCGCGACACGCGAATTACACAACTAATTTGCGTAACCAGCTGGACAGTTTAACGATAATTCGCAAATTGAATTGTTAGAGCGGCCCGTAATTCGTAGAAGAGCATTAATGTTAATAGCATTAATACCGTACCGCTCGCGGTAATAGAACATTATGCATATAATTGATGCACCGTGAGCGTATCCGGGCTTCGATTTGCGGACCGCCGGCTGTTTAATTTCTTCCGGCGCAGATTTCGACTCTAACAACACGCAGGCGGCACGGGATAGTCAGGTTTCAAAAATACTCGCGGGATATTTTCTAATTCGGACATGCGCCCGAGGAAGTTTTACTGTACAAGAGTGAAATTGCGAAAAAAAAAGCGGAAGCGCACCGTACAAAGCGTAGTCGTGAATGTATTTCTATTTCTATTTTCGATTTGCCTTCGAGGAATTGTATTGCTTTCCGGAAAAAAATGCGAGAAATTTTGATTTACCTTCCGACAAAATTTTCTTTCTGTGTTAACAACGGGTGATTTTTTTTTATTAATTTATTGCGAAACACGAGCCATCCGTCGAAGGAAATCGCCGAAATGACGATCGCGCGAGTAAATACACTTTAATTAAGATAGCTGGTCCGTAGAGTGCCGGATTTTCAGTGGCAATTTAAGGAGCCCCTGTATAAGTTTATTATTTACTGAAAAAACATGCTTTTTATCATTTTATTTAACTATCCGTTAAGTAATAAATGTTAATTTTGAGCGCGAAATTAAGACAAATACATATACAATATTACAAACAGAAATATTTTTCATTTTTCTTATTAATGCTTTATTTATATGTTAGTTGATCTAATAGAGGTGCACAATAATAGAAAGTGATATATAATATTTTAATATGTATATATGTACATATGTCATATTACTATAAATTGTAAATTTCTTATGGCTATATTTTCAAAACAAAATGGTCAATAATTCTCAAATTGTTGAATAATATCTTTAATACTTAATATCACAGTAGTTTTTTTTACTAAAATCTTAAATTGATGGTTTAGAAGAAATTAAAAATAGAAGTTACAGATAGAACATTAATCTCAAGGAATACATATAAAAAAATGTTATCTTTAATTGTGAATATCTCAGCTTCCCAATGGTCAATTGTTTTCTAACTTTGCAGACATGTAGATAATATTTCCATCAATGTACAGTTAAAATTTAAAGAAGAATTTCTAAGAAAATGGTTTGACGGACCAACTACCTTAATCGACACGATCTCTGTTTGGTTGTCGCTGTGCTTTCACTTTGCTTTCGATCGAAAGGATTTTTACGTACTTGCTAAGGGCGGGAGGGCAAAGTAGGAAGATCAGTCGATTGTCCGGAAGGCTGGATCCATACATGAGGCCGATACAGGAGTCGGAGCCAGGTAGGCCGTATCTCTTGCAGATGCTCCTGAGATCGGCCTCTCGGTCGCGTTCGCAGCAGCCAATCATTATCTCCTTTACCGATCCCAGGTCCAGGTATCCCTCCTCCAGGGTAACGGAAGCGCAGTCAGCCTGCTGTTGCGTGTACCTGCTGGTTAGGCCCGCTGGCATCATGTCCTCCGGTTTCACGCTCAGCGAAAATTCCGTAAGGGCGGCACCGCCGACCTGCGTCGTTTTCAGGGGACTCCAGGCCGGTTTCTCCCATATGAAAGTGCCACAGGCGCGATCGACGCGCGCGAACACCAACGCCGTCCTCGAGGTGCCGCCCTCGCAGTCCCAGTGCACCAGAGTTGTACCGTGATGCAGCATCTGAAACAGTTAATGAAATACTACGGTTAATTTGGAAAATATCGGTAACTCGGTTGAGAGGCAGAAATATCTGGTCGTCATATAGAATTTCGTCACATTACTTGTCGTCATAGGTTTTTTGTATAATTTTGGGAGTTATGTTCAATTTTTTAATCAACTTTCTGGTTTTACGAAAAACATCATGCACATTATTCGTTCTGAGTATTTTCTTTTTAGCATTTCCAATATATTGAAATTTCAGTACGACGCGTAGAATTTCCGTAAAATATTCCCGAAGCGGAAACTTTAAATGTTATTTTCTCTTTAATGCTGTAGAAGTAGCTGCAAAAGATACGATGTACCTTCTGACTTTTAATATCGACCTCATATATGGGTCATATGAATTCAGTTTTCCGGACGATCGACTAATCTCCTCTTTTTGCTCTGTCTCAGTACGCGAAAAATTTTTTAACGTTGTATGCAATTTTGTTACCATTCGCGTATAGTTAATATCTGTGTCTTATAGTTTAACATTGTTACGTCCCGGACGCGGATGTTGGATTATTGAAAGATACGGAATCGCGCCGCGAACGCGAGGCTTTGTGTGGAGTGTAAGTGTCCTTTTTGGGTCAATGGATTTAACCCTTTCGGTACATTTGACGAGTGAGACTCATCATCTGCTTACTTGGGCATAAAATGTATTACTTTTACATATTAATCCATATAGCGACAAATTAAATCCGTCCCATGGGCATAAAAATCTTCAAATAATTCAGTACTCAAAGGGTTAACCAATTTACCCTGGGATGGACGAGGCTGTGTGAATGCTGTTGTGGATATGGATGAGCGCGTATGTGCGTGTGTAAGATTGAAGGAGGTTGATAGAGTTGCAAGAATTAAATTTATTTACGTTTGAGGAGTTGTTCTGAGTTAAGTCGTATTTGACGTAGAAGCCGAGAGAGAGTCGCGAGGGCAAAGCTTTTTCTCGGCTTTTCGCGTCACCTTTTACAGGTAGGTAATGAGATATCCCCGCGCAGGTTCCTCATTACCCAATCAGGGGTAAGATGCATCTTACGCCATAAAAAATGAGTCAAATGGCTTTTTCTTGCGATGCATTAAAACTGTTGGTTTTTTTAGCGTTATCGCTGCCGATTGCTTCATCCGAAGCGATGATACCTCGGAGTATCCCTAACCAGAAGATATTGTTTAACACTCGATATTCTTTCGGCGCTATCGCTGCCGATTGCTTCATCCGAAGCAATGATCTAATACCTCGGGGTAACCAGAAGATATTGTGTAACACGCAAATGGTTGCATGAGCGAGTAGACTACATATTCGATGGCGAATTATAATTTAGCGCAAGAAAGATTGTTTGGCGCGCAAAACGTTACGCGAACATAACAATATCTGTGATTCGTAATCGAGTGAGGACAAAATTCGACTGTTCCAGTTTGCGACGCGGTATGTGTAAAAAGTTTTACACGTCCGTATCGCGCGTGTTATAGATTTCCATCGCTCGTCGGTACAAAAAAGAAAACAAAAACGTGATTACGTAAACGCAAGATGTAACACGCAGCCTACATTTAATTTCGCTCAAAACCTCGCTCCGCCGGACTTTATGCGGCGGCAACCAGATTACCACCTAACCCTGTTATTTTCAAAAACAGCAGAGGCGCCTGCTGCAAATATAAATATATTAATTGCGCCGCGCGCGCGAGAGGCACTACCGAGGTCATTTTCGCAATTGCGCCACGAGCTTGTGCCATAGCAAAGTACTAGATGTCGTGAGTGCATTTATAACAGTGATGGGCCTCGTAATGCACTTATAACGGCGTTTATGCGGTCGACTCTGAGTGCAGCGTGTATGGAGATACTTATTGCACGTACGCTCGCCGCATGTACACGAATGCCGCGTATTCTAGACCGGAGTTATTCATCGACGGCGCAGACAGTTACTTAAATTCACGGTGCCTCGTGAAACGGCATACGCAATGAGTATGTGCCTGTCGCTTTTGGCCGGCGAACAGAAATATATTCATGTTCGGTATTAAGAAAGATATCGAACACGAATTATAATTTTATCGGTCGTTCGTGTAATTGCGCGTACAACGGTGACTGGCACAGAAATATCATCATCATCTCTCATTCCAAAATATCATTTAAGTATTATAAAATTGAAATATTAATTACAAGAGGGAGAGAGAGAGAGAGAGAGAGAGAGAGAGAGAGAGGTGGTGAAACGTGAAATTTAAATATTAAACATTTCAGATATTGGAAATATTTTGCATAAAACTCAATAGATTTCGTGTTAAATACAATTTTGTTTAATGAAGATATTTCTATAAATAGTTTTATAAAAGTTGCGTTTTGCATCCGTTATTCATTACATAATTTTTTGTTTGCAACTTTTGAAAATAAAATAAATAAAATTTGAAAATTTTGTGCGATATAAAATATTTTTTTCACAGTCCTTACAGTTTCTTTCAATATTTCCCAAATTTGTTTATTGAAATTCGAGTAATTTTAAATTTTATTTTATGATTCATAAATTTTTATGAATGGAAAATATTAAGGACTTTGCGCAATAAATATATATTCATTTGCAAGATACATTTAAAAATACGTTCATTTTATCTGGAATTTTTAACAAATTGTCTGGAAAATCATGGCATTTTCAGGAAATTTCTTCTTCAGATTTGAGTAGACGCCCTGCTTAAACTTAGAGTTACAAATGCGCAATTACTTAGGAGAGCGACCGAGCGTCGTCATGAGGGAAGATAGAAATGACTTTGCGCGCGTCAAAACTCGTCCAAATTACTCGTCGAGTTGCAATTTCTGACCTATAAATAGGCCAAAAAAAAAAGAGAGAGAGAAAAAGCATCGCTTCAATTAATTCATATCGGTAACTTCGGACATGACCATCGCGCCCGCCTCGATTTTCAAAGGCATATCGAACAGTCAATCGTCATTCAGGTTCCTCGCGTTCGCACGACCGACACGCCGGCCCATTTAAAAAGTACCAACCCTCGCTTGAATGTCAGAGGGTTGCAATTTTTACGATGGCTTGTTAGAAAGCTGCTAACTCAAGCGTAAGCTTCATCGCGCTCTCAAGTTTGACATTCGTCGTCCGATTTTACGACGCTTTTAAAGCGACGAGACCGCTCTCCTCGATTATACAGAGTGTCCCAGAGGTATTTAGCCATTCTTTTCACTTGCTCGCGCGCACGCACACGATTCGAAGCCTTGATTTGCACTCGAAAGCGCGGGGACATCTCGACGAATTAAGACCCGTAAATACCCGAGTATTTACAGCCGGAAGCGATCGTTCCACGGATCGCGATATCTCGTTAGTATTATCACGGTTGCGTCGAACACGACGGTAGCTGTGCAACTCCGGGCTGTATACCCGCATTTTACGGACGTTTATCGCCGTTCAATCAATTATTTTTATGAGCTGCCGTTATCCGCGCGTCGGGACGGAGTCGAGAAAGAGCTTTTACCACTCCGTCCGCGATTTCCGTGCTCGGTATCGCTCGATAGATCGGGTCGTTACGCGTTTCGCGACAACGGAGAAGGATATCCGCGCATTGCGCGCCACGTTGTACTGATATTTCACGAGCGCCGGCTGACGAATTTATCCATATGAACCGTTTCTTCTCCGCAAATACATCGCGTCCCATTTTTCTCGTTCGCCACTCAATTAACGCTGACAATTGCTGGCTCGATTCAAAAGGATGACCTGGTTTTGCGCCGCGCCGCGCACGTTACAACATTTTTCCCGTAGGTCCCACTCCGTGCTTCGTTTACCGCCGAGTTTTCCACCCCTCCCGGCCGTCCTTGCGCTCTCTCCCGCGTTCGCCCCTCCCCCCTCCCGTTCTCTCTTTCTCCTCCTCGCAGTCCCGCATATTTCTCTGTTTCCTCTCTAATTTCCGCGAAGCATGTCAGCGGTATGGGCGCAAGGCTGGTCCCTTTGAAATCGCTTTTGACGCACGGGACGCTCTACGTGCCGACGGTATCTTTTATCTCGACGACGGGAACGTCACGGGGCAAGATATTAATATTTCGAAATCGTCCGGGGGGCAAAATATCCGTGCGCCGAAGCCAAGGTTATTCAAACACCCGGATACCTCGTACTCCTTAATGAAGATCTGCGCGTTAATCTCGATACGCGAGTTACGCAAACGTGTATCCACCCTCTTCTGTTCCGACGGTACGTGCATATACTCTCTTGAGAGATGGCGAGGATAGAAGACGAGAGCCCCAAAGGCGTTCCTCGTGCTTCCTTTTGCGATTCACGTGGCTTAAACGGCGTACTACGATCTAAGGATCTCGTATCGTCGCTGCATCGGCTGTGATATCAGAGAAAAAACACGTATTTGTCTCTTCAAATTTCAAAGGTAATCTTGGGATTTTTCTCGATAAAATAGGGACAGGAATTTTCATCGAACGTCGTACCCGTCGCGACGCGACGATGCTACGGGGAAGAAGAATTGGAATCATGTTTTAAATTGTCTCCTTTACACGGAAAAAGAAAATGAGCTCCCGCAGGTAAAAATTATCTGTCTATATAATACAACTGTAATTTAGTTAATTTAGCTAATGTTTTCGTCCTTGTATCTAGTTTTCAGCTCCCACAACTAAGAACCTAGGTTTGGTAACTAAATTTCAATTGTGTCACATGAATAGATAATAATTTTTTTCCGTGTAACTTAACTCTCGTACAGATCATTCGTAGACTGTAATTCGATTGCCGCGAATTAAATCATCCCTACCGTTGGTATCGATCCGTATGATGCTTTTTGTCACGACGCTCTTTGGAGAGAACTGTCGTCATCGTCGCAAGTGCGACGCTGCGAAATTCGCGGCACATAAATATGTTAAATTCGTTTCCGGCGTCAGTTATTAATATTTGCATCGGTCACTGCTATGGCAGAGATACGAGTGTCGTATTTAAATAACTAGAAGTGTTTTCGAGATATGAAAGATTCTTTTGAACACGACACCGTCTTCCGCCTCGTTATTACCTGAATTTTTACCAGTCGAGTGCTCCTTCTGTTACGATATATTAAATTCATATTTATGAAGGAGCTACCAAGTCAGAAGTAGAAAAGGTAGTATTCATTTCAGATGGAATAAAAACAACTCGCGACTCTAACATCCTCTCTTTCCCTTCTTTCGGATGTAAATATTTCCCTAGACGTAATATATATAATCGTTTTGCATCCCCGCAAAAAGTGGCTCATTAAGAATTATTACACAGAGTTTCAGTCATTCATCTTTTCCGAGAGAGATTTCGACTTGCTCATTAAGTTCAGCTTATTAACATGAACAGATAATTAATTAGAAATTAAAGAATCTGACGGACGGCCTGCGAAAATTCGAGCGTAATGAATAACGAAACATTCGATCGATTAATTCAATCGTTTAATTTCAAATGGACTTGGCCCGACAAAAAATTTGGCTCTATTGCCATGACATGAAATATCCAAAAATAAAATGGATCGCGGTAGAGAATAAACTCGGAAATATTGTTTTAAAAATTCGTAGACAAAAGAATATCTGGTATTGACAAATTGTCCGCTGCATTTGATTCCGCTGCGAAATAACGCGTTTCGCGTTATGACGCGCTAATTCGTAAAGCAACAATAATATCCTTTGATGAGATATTGCATTTAGATATTCGGTTTATTGTCCGATAATTTTTGCATGATACGTAATTTGCTAATGACGTGTCGAACAGAATATTATACATTACGATGATATAAATTTCACGGGTAAACCGCCGTCAATGTTGCGATACATTATTATTCAATTCTGCTGCAGCCGTAACAGCACGTCAGGATCAAACGCGTCGCATTGTGCAACAAATCCTGCGCGTCCAATATTTGCGATGCACTCCGCGTGCATCGCGATGTCACGTATACAATTCGCAGTTTCGTTGTATGGCCCAGTGTCTCTCAGCTCCAAAACGATCACGAGACTATCTCAGACAATATCTAAGTATGTATGCGTGTGTGTATATATATATGTGTGTGTTTCTGATGCGTAATCCTAACGCAGTGTGAAGAGCGGAATGTTGCTTTATCACAAAGCGGAAATTAAATTGTGCAATCTCGTGGTGGTATATTAATAATTATGATAAATTTAATTAAGTTGCAACATCAAGCATCTTTAGCACGTTCTGCGTTAATTAAATCGTGTCTGTCTAGAATTAAGTCACTCTTGCGAAATATCGAGCGGGAGAAATCCAGTAAAATCAGATTCAAGATATTTCCCGTAATAATTATTTGTTTGTCCGAAAAGGAGAGGCAGAGAGAGAGAGAGAGAGAGAGAGAGAGAGAGAGAGAGAGAGAGAGAATTGCAGGTAGAATTATTTATCTGCGTGTAGGACGAAAATCGTAGGGTAGAGGTTATTTATATGCGCATCGATCGCGCAGGAAACTCAAAACCGTGAAAATGCCGTTTACATGGCCGAAGGTGACGATATGAGATTTTTATATCGATACGATATCTACTTTCCTGCATGAAACGCGCGTCTGCTTGCACAATGTAGTGCTGGCGTACCTGCAGTAGGTGAAGATCCATGCCGGTGTGTGGCGCGGCGACGGGGAACAGAGTGACTACATGATCGTACTTGATCGGCTGCACGGGCTTGTAGGAGTCCAGATCGAGATGATAGTCGTTCTCGTCGCATTCCTCCGCCATGTAGGTTTGCTCGATCGCGGTCGTGTGAACGCTGAGGGTACGATGAAGGGACCCGGTAGTCGCGTCTCTGCCACGGGCATGCCGGTGCTGGGGACAGAAATATTTCTCGTTGAATGAAATTATTCGGATATTTAACGCGTCACGCTAATATATCCGAAATATTCGTTCGGCGTGCGCTGACGTTCCAGAAAAATATGTCTGATTTTTCGTTTAATGCGACAGACGGAGCAAGGAAAAAGCGTTTTTGTTGCGTACGCAATTTCTTCGCAACTAATATCTTTGTCGAGTAGACTCGTTTTCGTTTCACTTATGGACAGTTCAGTAAAATTATTATAATTATCCCCATATCCGGAATCATAAAATCCGAAAGCCCTTACGTGTTTTCCCCCAAATTTTGGTATTTTTCCGATTATTTGAAATCCGGACGTTCCATGTTGAAAATGACTGTACCTGCAGATGGCAGTCTAATTTAATTTCGAATCTAGTCACATTAATTGCTCCGCCTTACGCGTTTCGAAAACAATTTTAAATAATAGTGGCGTTATTGCGCAACAATTCGCTGCTCTGAAGCTCGAGTTTAACGCATGCCAAGGGAGCTTAGTCGCTCGTCGTCTCACCTTGTGGAAGAGCGCGACTTTGTCAAGAACGGAATTCGTGTCGTGCACGACGGGGTTCTCCGGTTTGTTCAAGGAGCCGCTTCTCGAACTCCATCCCGACGGCGCTTCTGTGTTACTCTCGATGGTGATCCTTGCGGTCGGCGCAGACGAAGGCACGTGTTCAAGAGGTTCGCTCTCCTTAACGATACCACGTGGCGGCTCGCGATTTTCCCTGAACTCCGGCTGAGGCTGAAACATGCCGAGTCGACGATATTCCTCAGAAACTTCGATCGGGATTTTTGCGCCGCGCGCGGAATTTATCTTGTATGTGGCGTATGACGAGGATGAAGCCGCCGTCTCTCGTAAGAAATTATTAGTGTTTCAAGTTCGGAAGAAGCGAACCCGTTATCGAGAGACATATAAAGATAAAAGATGGCAAAATTTCGCTAAATTTTAAGCTGGCCCAATAAAGGAGTTTTATTTTAAAGATTTTTCGTTGAATATTTTTTGATAACGTCGATCTAAAATGTACATCAGCAGTATATCCGAGCAATGAATGCTCATCTTTATCACGCGGAGTGCTTCATACGAAAGACAACATCAAAAACTGCATCGCAATAACGACAGCGACCTTTTGAAAAGCGGCATCGGTGAACGTTTAGGGAGGTATCAAGCTCAAACACGCGCTTAAACATGCTCCGAAAGCTCTTCGAGCTTTTTATCGTCCTTTAAGCGAATGAGAAATTAGAATGTATCGTGCTCAAAGTAAACGTACCTGAACCGCAACACCGTTGCTCTAACGAACACACACGTCTGCACGATAGAAAGGAAAAATAAACACGGCGCTTGAAATAACAACACAGCACGTGGGAGGGAGGTGTGCAACTCGCTAAAGATATACAAAATTACCTTATGGCTTCACACGACGTTCGTTCGGGAACTTAAGCAAATATCTCGTGACAAATACAGACGAATAAAAAACAAGTGTAAAGACGGTCGAGAGGGTTTATTAGAACGTTACCGCAACATGCATAACTGGAAACATGCTGAGTAGGATTATATCGGAGCACGAATTAAAATCAAGGAAATATAATGAATTATGGTGCGACTCGTGTAAATTGAACTGTTACCGTTGCCAATAGTGTAACATTCCGATTCGGATCGCAGAGATTCCTGAGAAGGCTGCGGTGACGGTCGCTTCTCGCATATATTTTTCGCTTTTTCGTGCGAGTATACTTTGAGGAGAACGTCGCTCATGTTAGTGACAAGACGACATTCATTTCGAGGACGTATAGACTCGATAATCTCGGTAACGAAGCTCTCTTTATCGCCGAAGAGAGCGGAGCTTTCGCAACAACGACGATCGATAGTTTACGGTTTCTTCTCGAGGCGCACCCTCGAAATGTCGCGTGTTCGTCAACAGGAGCATTGGGTGGCCCTTTAGATCTGAACGAGTGGTAACATACAAAGTGCCCTTTTCAGAAGTGTAAATCTCTTGACAATCTTGTAAACGTAAGTGGCGCGGCAGATCAGAAAAGAGAGAGAGAGAGAAAGAGAGACGGACGACTAGTCATATTTTTAGCTTTCTGCGGAATTTCTCGACCGAAAATACAATTTACTGACGAAATTAACAAATTTAATTACATTCAAATATCTCTCGAGTCTTTTCGACAACATTTTCATGCACTATAATTAATTAGAGCTAACAATCCAAATGAAAACGGAAATACATCCTCTCACGTTAAGAGGCGTTATAAAATCGCTCCTACCCTTAACCCTCTTAGCGAAATTAGCTATTTTTCACGTGATTATGCCGCAGAGTGCATATTTTCGGTGGCACATCACGGAGGCCACTCAACAATTTAATATTTATTTAGTATTTAAAAGTAGAAGTTAAAAATAGGACGTTACCTTCAAGGAGTACATATAAAAAATGTAATCTTTAGCTGCGAATATCTCAGCTTCCGTACAGTCAATCGTCTTCTGATCGCGCCCATAATTAGGTTATATTTAAATCACAGGGCGTCCCCCTTCCTCCCCCCAGATCAACAACAAACAACAAACTTCGCCCCGATCCGGGACACCCTGTATAACACAGGTCTCAATGTATTTAAAAAAACTCACTTTGTGCTACAACCACCTTGAACAAATTATACGCACGAATATTCGATCGTGAATACGTACGTACGGATTCGCGGGCTGTTCTCTGCTCAGCCCAGAAAGGCACGGGGCTCCGTAGCGCGGCGGGGGAACCTTAATGCGGCTTATAATTAACCGCTACACCCGATAACCTTAATATATCGCAGGGGTATATTGAGTGATCGTTCCACGACGTCGCGTCATAAGGTAATGCTGTTTCGCTTTATAGCGCCGCGCTACCCACTAATCGATCCGCCGTCGAACGGCCTCGCCACTAAGTCGCGCGATTCAAATTGCAAATGTGCCGAAACCCGCGGGAACAACGGGGAACGTCCTACTGCCAATAGGATAATCCGTGCATCACGATCGCCCTGTGCTCGCGGGGAAGAGAATATATATTCGATATTAATTCAAGCCTCGCGGGCGGAGCGCGGAGAAACGCGGAAATACGCGCGTCTCTCATCCGCTTCGTCGTTTCCGATCGAGAATCGATTCGCCCCGTCGCGGATGCAGGGAGCTGAGGCTGAAACATGAGGATTATCGTCTAAAGCGGCACCCGGAATTAGCAGCGCTTTCGCGGCGATTTTTGAACATTACACTTACGCGTCCTACACTCCACGTGTCGCTTCCCAAACGAGTCGCTCGACGCCGATGACGCGCGACGCTCCATTTTGCATTGGCCCTTTGAATATTTCTCACGTGTGAATCCACACGCATTTACGCGTCGCCTGCGGGACGCCAGCTGTATGGAAGCGACGATAGATGTGACGTGTCTCGAAAATGCGAGAGCTAAATTTATCGGGCTAAAGCTTTGGAGATTGTCCTTAGCTGTGATAAAGATTTCGCTATTGAGAAAGGTCCGGCTTGAGAGGGATTTGAATTCAGCGTTCGGCTTGTTTCGAAGTAAGCAACTCCGTCGGAGACTGCGTCTCTTTCGTTTGTAAGCAGGAATTTGTCTCGGATTTCCTTGAAGAATGTTTCAACTCGCGCATAAATTAATTCTTAAGGGTACGCCCTATAGTTGTACGTTCTCGACAAAATATTACCGTTTGTAATAGTTCTTCCTTCTGTTTCTTCTTCTTCCTCCCCTCTCCCCCCTCTCTCTCTCCCTCGTTCCGCGTTATTCGCGAATAATGATGCGGACGGAAAGTATGCCAACAGGGACATTGTAACATCTGGTCCTTTAAAGATTAAAACCGGAGAGTACTCGCGGCGGACGTGATGTCGGACGAACGAGGTGACTTTCGTGGTGTCTGTTGCTCAACCTTGTTACCCCTCCGCGGAGGTGTGCGCCACCACAGGACGTACGTGCCGATGGGGCGAGTGACATCCCGGGATAACAGAGCGACGCACACCGGCTTAGCGCGCACGTCTTGGCGCCGCACCGGTGCCGATTTGGAATTCCATCTGCAAACCGTGGGGTGTCCGCCGCGGATACATTCGGTTAGAAGGTTATCTTCGAGGGAGAAAACGAGACAGAGGAAGGGAGGAAGCGAACATGAGTTATGCCAACACCCGTTTCACCTTCTCGGTATTCTCGGGACGAAGCGTGCCATTTACTTCGTCCCCGTAATGTCAATCGATGTCGAAGTCGGAATTTAATTTAATTAGCAATCAGCCTGGCGAGATGCAAATGCCCGAATGATCACTACGCTGGCTTATTTTTGCGGAAATCGCACGTTTCGTTACACATTGTACGTGTATGGCCACGAAAAGGCTGCAACACTTTTTTTCGACGAGTTTCAGAACATATCTCGTATCCGATAGGAAGATCTCCTGAGAATTATTAAGAAAACAAATTCTCCTACTGGACACGGGATGCGTTCCGAAACTTATCCAAAAAAAGTGTTGCGATCTTTTTGTGACTGACCATACTTCAAAGTCAAAAACATGTTTATCAGCGAGTCTTTCGCTGAGAAATTTCAGCTTATCAATCGTACATCCACACACAGCTTAATTTCAAAGATCAGTGGCGTGCTAGTTTTTTCATAAAAGAAAGGTTATCTTTGGGTCCGCCTCTAATTGAATAAAAAAATAATATGTGGCCTCAAAAGATGAACCTTCATGTCCTTGAAACATACGCAAAGTTTCATTAAAGTAACCCGAGCGGTTTTCCAAATTTCTGGAAGTGGAAATTTTTCCTCCAACTTTGACACTCGGTATCTTTGAGACTAAGCTGTTTCGGCCATATGAAGTTTTCGTCTCGAATCAACATAAGGAATCACCTCTGAACATTTTTTAGAACACTCAAGCACCATTCCGTATATACGCTAGCTTATCTGGAGAAAGATACAAGTAAGCCTGTCACGCACGCTTTATGCTCGATTATATTCGCTATACAACGGTCTATCATCTCATGTCGCTGCGTTTAAGGGTGGCCCGATCGGCGTTTTTACTCGCTCAATGCGGACGTTAGTCGCAGACGTAGAGTGAAAACGGAAGTCGGCACATATTCAACGTACAAGGTCAAGTAGAAGACACGATGGGAACGTTGAGCGGTGTACAGTTAGAATAGGATCACAGGTGTTGAGAGAAACAAGCTCTATCCGTTCGCTCGAGCGGACCTCGCTAAGTTCGGTTTACGCCACTTGTTTACGCCGTTTCCCGAAACAGGCGTGTTCCACGTCGCGGCCCCGCAACGCCGTCGCGCGCTCGGGATAGAAGCCTAATTACAAGCTCACGTCGCCAGACGTGTGCTTGGTTTTAACGGCTGGCCGACTCCCCGGGCTCGTAGTTGGTTAAGTTTCATGGACCACTCTTAGAACCGGTGATTTTCGTTGCGGGAGCTCCGCGATGCGTGCCTCTTACCACCAAATAACGTGACGCTGTAAAAAGCGTAGACACGGCTATTCCGTTGCGCCCCCAATGACGATCGTTAGCGACAAGAGCAAGTAGTTTCCGCCGGCCTACAACCATCGTAGCTGCTGGAGGCCGATAGAAACCCCTTTTCTTGTCGCTTTTATAGTGAAGTGTCGCCGACGCTGCGCTGTTGCTCTTCCCATGCTGCTGTTCTTCGTGAAAGCCCGTCCAAGAATTTCGTTGCGCAATTCTCGACGATAGCACTCGAAATAATCCCTCTCGTAACGCGAGCCCGTTTCTCCTTCACGACCGAGAGATTAACCTGATTTCTCGCATCGGTACCGATAACTCGATCCCTTGATTGCTCTTTTAACGAGCTGTCAGATATTACGAATTTACTAGAGACTACTCAATTCTCTCAAAGTAAATAGAGAGGGAAAGAGAGAGAGAGAGAGAGAGAGAGGAAGAGACCCGTAATACACTCTCGGAGCGTCCCGACATTCGTTGTTATCCCGAGAAGTCATCTTCCCGAGTGAGACTTTCGCGAGCTTAGATATGCACCCTCGAGTCCCGGCAGAAATTTTCCCGCTCGCCCTAATCTCTTATCGGTTCCTCCTCTTTGAGTGAATTCCGCAACAAAGTTCTTGCTATCTTTTAAGCAGTCAAGTGGCCCTCCCCGACGAGAGTCGGGGTAAATTTGCCGTGTCATTGACCCTCCCTCGTTCCCGCAGAGCCGGCTACGATGCGCTCAGCGGGGGAGCTCGGCGACGAGGTTCATCGATGAACTTCTTTGGCCGGCTGCCAAATCGTACGTGAATCCTTACGCGAAAGCATTCAATCTCTCACAGGCTCTCTCGTCCCTCTCTCTCTCTCTCTCTCTCTTCCCTCGACATAGCTATCTTTTTTCTCGTCGTATCGTGTTCCACACGTTTGAACATTCGGTAAGGGAGACCGACTCACGCTCGATGAAGTTGAGTCACACAACCTATCTGGGTAACTAGTCTTCCGCTCGGCGAACACGCGCGCACGAATCTGGTAGTCTCATCTTGCGCCGGCGGAGAAACGTGATCTTCACAGTAGACGTATAATGCCCGAAATTATCCGCTAAATCTCGGGAACAACGACGGGAGAGAATGCAAAGGGGATCGCTGGTGTGTGTAACATTTAAATGAGGCCCTTGTGCGAACAAATTTAAGCGAGACGTCTCGGCTCGCTTGAAACGTACACACGTAACTACACAATGCAACAAGAAACACATCAATTCTACTCGTGCAAACATCCCTATTTCTTATCGAAGCAGACCGAGAGTGCGGCGCGAGCTGCACGTGTGCGGGTGCAAATATCAATGGCGTGAATCCTTCACGAGCGTTTACCTTCGTTTCGTGCGCGATAACGTCCCGTAACTCGCGCAGGAAAGCCCCGAAGAACGGCACCACCGGACATTCCGGCATCGCGAGAGCGCGGGCAAGCGCAAACTCATATTCGGAAGACAGAAGGTCTTTGGAGAGATTGTCCAGAACCGGTATGGGCTCTCTCACGATGTTCCAGAACGGGTTCAGCTTGTTGGACCTGCAACACAGTACGTTCGTTGTGATTAGCCGGGGCAACGGCGAGACGATTTCCGCGGACGTAAGAATAGAAAGGTGTGACAGTAGAACCGCCAATTTGGCTCCTATTTCTATTTCCGCTTACTGAACATTTATTTTGATATTATCTGCGTTATTCGAGACCACGTTCACGTCTTAAAAAACCGAAAGTCGAGGAAAACTGTCAACTGATACGAAAATTTATCGGATTTATAGCGATTTTAAAAGTCAACGGAGCCAAAATGGCATCATCGGCGATTCTAATGATAAACCGCTGTAACTATGAAGATTTTTGTATGTGTTAATTTCTAAATAACAAGCAGTCACTATTATGCCACCGATAATAATCGCGGATTTTCGGCGCGGGCCGTTGCGATCGACTGCATTTTCTTCAAGTCAAGCGATTGCCGGAGCTACACGTAAACTGTTTAGAGGGTAAACCGTAGATCAAAAGATTAGAGGGTGACTTAGATGGGATTTGGTACTCTAAGTAATACCCAATTCGAATAATACCCGTTAATTCCTACTAATACCCCCTCCCCCCAATCTAGTACATCAACATTACGTAAGTTTACCTTACGCGCGGAGTTATTAAGTCGTTATTATTATTAATAAGCTTCGGAAGCTGTAATTGCCCCATTAAGGACAATCGGCTTAAATTATGAAATTAAGGAGAATATTACCGCTGTAAAACTAAAAAGCATCTTGCCCAGCGGCGGGGAATTCGTGTGCGCGGCAATTTGCAGGAACGAAATGCGCCAAATGCACACCCGGACGATTATCACGTTTGAAAAAGCGGGACAACGCGGAGGAAGCGGTTTTCCCACGACAACAACAACGCGATTCAGCATCGGAAGCAGGGTGCAATTTAATTACAACAATTTACATTCGTTCGGCTAAAAATTAAGCTAATGCAATTGTCGGCCCGGCATCCGTACGACCGGAGTCAGCTGGCTCGCGCAAACTGTTACTCCCACGGTTTCGCGCACCGGCGGTCGTTAAAATCACAAAACGTTTACTATTACGGCGTTCATTATCTCCCCACTTCAAACATTCTCCGTGGCGCGGCCAGTTAACTCCGAACGGCCGGAGAACGCTTCCGGAAGAGACAGCGTGTAGGACGGCGTGCAAGCCGCTCGTTCTGGAACGATATTCCCCGCAGGAAACTTTTATCCTCTCATTCGCGAGACGAGCGCCGCAAGAGAGAGAGAGAGAGAGATAGAGAGAGAGAGAGAGAAAGACGGTGTGTGTAACTTTATAGTCCCGGCACTAAAAAGTATTTTATTTCCGCGGCCACTTCCCGATAGGAACGGAAGCCGACTTCGGCTGCGGAACGCCACTCAAGGTGGAAGTTGCCTCGGTGTCGCGGACGTGAACAGCCACGGCGCTTAATGACGGCCGCCCTTATCCGCGGGCAAGGGTCGAGGCGATGACCGCGAACGACCGGCCGACGTAAACTGCCACTCGCGGGCCTGCCAAGCCCCCTCCCCCCTCCCCTAGAAATTTCTGTTGCCGGCCGATATTGCGCTCATCGATGCAATTTCCTCCGAAGCTTCCGAGCCCGGCGATTGAACGGATGACATTTATGACGTTCGGTCAGGTAACTGTCGGTATATCGATGCGTATGATAGATTTTATTAACACTGCTATTATACTGCAGGTTCGACTCCGGTGACACCGCTGGGGATCATTACTTAGTGATGATTGATCGATGGCGACCGGCCGGCTGGTCTTGAAAAGTTCGACGTCTCTTTCTTTCTCTCTAACGAGAATCCTCCGCGAGTTAATCACAGTTATATCAGGAAGCCTTCCTCGATCTCAACGCATTCGAAACACGACTCTTGAATTTTAATGGTACAATATTAATTTTCCTCTCTAAAAGCTCCTGCTAACTTAAATCGTTTAAGATAACCGCTATTGTAAAAAGAAATCTAATATAGGTCGCTTAAGGGTGCGAGTTGAAGGGAAACGTCGACAAAAATGTTATTCTGGACATTAAAAGATCGGTTTTAGCGCGAAAAGTTGATTCCCCGCGTACGATTGCTGAAAGAAACGGACATACGTTCACTACACGATTAAACAGACAACTTTCCACAAATAATATTAATATTGCGTATATATATATATATATATATATTTGCCTCGTTTTTTTTTATACGCAATATATTTTCCCCGTCTGAGAATAAGTCGCCGAGTTATCTCACGGGGCGCCTTCCCGGCCGCGTTTAGATCTGCACGCGGAGCACTGATCAAGGCGCCGGAGCGGATTCTCTCAGCGTAGTTCTCAACTTCGCGATAAACCCTTTAATAAAGTATTCTCCTTCGGAGATACCTCGGCAGATCACAAAGAGCCCGGTCCCTCGCGCGGCGGATCCTCCCGAGTATTTTTCTCGCGAGGCACAAATAACGATATCAAGCGAATCAGCGTCAGTTATTTTCCAGGCGGACGGAGCCGACCACGTGTTTCTGCCTTCATGCTCCGCATTCGTCGCAGACGGCCGTAATGAAAGTCCAAATTAAAGCGATAAAACCCGTCGGCAAACGTATCCGTTTCGTTCGGTCGGACGGATTTACGAGCGTGAGCCGGAGTGCTCAATGAAAATCGCGCCACTTTGATGCCAGCGAATGTCAAATACGTGGCTTAAAATACGACATTTAATCAAATTTCTCAAGTCGCGAACTCCTTTCAAAACTGCGCCGGAGCATGGAACGCTCTCGAAACTTCGCGAGCCGTACTTTCGGACTTTAAAAGTCCATCGTGTAGATATCACTTTGTATTCTTTTCTCCCTCTCCCTCTCTCTCTCTCTCTCACCCACCCACACACTCGGCAAGAATTAATTATCAAACGAGCAGGGGAACGATTTAATAGGCGAATAGCGCTTGTTGACCTCTGGGGAATTAATGACGCACATATCGAAAATTACGCGAATTACTCTCCCGGATCTCGCTCATCGCGCGAGACACGGCTCCGGATGAAAGAGGTCTCAGTCCCGAAAGAGTTCGCTTCGCGAAATAATGCGATTACGGCGTCGAATCGTTTCGGGTAATGGTTTCGGGTGGAGCATCTAGTGGAGAAACACTCGCGGAATGAGCTACGTGTCGCGGCGTTCGATAAAACTTTCACGAAATATTCTTAATAAAGCGAACTGCCGCGAGGAGGCACTCTCCATTGCGATAAGACACGGCTGGGGGAAAACTCGTGTATACGTCGAATAAAGTACAAGGCGGGCGACGTCTTCGCGAAAGAAAATTGCACGTTTCCCCGTAATTACTCCCGTGCACCTCGGCCCTAACTGTGCATTTCAGCGCCCACAGGCCTTTCTTGATCCTCCGTTCGGCTCTTCTTATATTTTCCGACGAATCCCGTATCAATATTTCTTCAACGACGATTTTATAATTTGTCGTTAGCTCTTGATTATGGAAATGAAAAATATCACGTAATTTCGCCTTACATTAAATTGTTCTATCACGTTAATGTTTGTTTTAGAGTTAATCATTAATTTGAAGAGTAAATTCAGCGGACAGAACAGTCGTTATAATGTGCGATCGCAATCGATTGCCAGTATTCACGAGTAGATCGAGCGCCTCTACGATTAGCGTGCGACAAATGCGTTTCTTCTTCTGTCGTTTCATGGCGATGCGCTTGCTATTATTCTCAAGATAAGGCACGTAAGGTGTGCGAGATAGGAGAACGAAAGAGCAGGAACATGCCCGCGAGCAAGTCGTTACCCCGTAACGTTTATGCGCCCGCCGTAGTAAAGAGACTCTGGTATAAGTATTTCAATCATCTTGCGAGCATTCTCCACGTTTGCTGTTTGAAATCTGAACTCAGCCGCGACGATACTCAACAGAGAAATATATACGCGTGTTACACGACAATTATTGGCCGTCTGAGACTACATCCCGCGTAATTAACGTGTTAATTTTTATGCGCTATAAACGGAGACTCCGATCGCTCGAAAAGAGCATTTAGAGAATAGCGAAGGCAATTAGGGAACGAATACATTTTGGTTTTTCACAAATCGCTGATTCCGTGCGGATCGCCGTTCGAAGGACGCTTATTCGACTCTAATCATCGTCTTTTGACGGCGGGACGAATACATCTCCAGCGGAAATCTCATAAGTCGAGTCGTGACTGCCGCAGGCGATCGATCGGCTGCCAGAGCGGACAAAGAATCTTTGATCGTTCACTCGTCAGTGATTCCGGATACATGACCGCGGAAATGTCAAAGATCCTGGACACTCGCAATAGGAGCAACGTTATTTTCCAGGGATTTAAATCCCCGTCGTCAAAATTGGATCACGTGCCGAGTTTAATGCAGAGGACATCTCTGAAGAAGCTCGATACTTGTTGAACAGTCTTTGATTTCGTATCGAAGAGGTCCGAATGTTTTGTGGGTCGCTCGTGTCGAACTCCGTCCGAAGGAGTGCATTCGTGTAATCGCATCAAGCACACACATTTTGATCGGATTCCCGGCGATATTGCGAAGCTTTTTATCGACGGAAGTTCGAGACTTCGGATCATACTCGATTATGTGCCGGCTAACTTGGCTTCCCGCCGTTTTATTTACGATGCTGAAGCATTTGTCTCGTTAAGAGAAACGTGTTTCGAATAAACTCGCGACGAGTCGCTTCCCATGTTTGTCACGAAATTTTTTCTAGATGTTACATGGTTATGAGTGTAGGTTATATTGTTGTAAACAATTAACAATGTGTTAGATACGCGGGAAAAAAGATCAGCTCCAGTAGCTAAATTAGTTGTATCATATACATACATAGAATTTTATCGGCGTGAATAATTTTAATTAAAAGAGTTAATTTAAAAGAGTTTGCTACTGCGAGAAAAAAAGGTTTTGCATTAATTAAAATTGCTTACACTGCTGAAGTTTTAAGTGTCCATATGTTACAACTAATTTAGCTATTGCAGCTAATCTTTTTTTCCATGTATGTCGTTAATTACTTCTAATAACATAGTAAGCCCTAAGTTGTTTGCTAACATTGTATAATTGGAATTATATAGTGGAAGACCGTGCCAAGGTATTAAGCCTCAATATTTATTACTTAATTTTGTTAATATTGAAAGTAGTCTATGGAAAGAAGGACCGTTCATCTTTTGAACATACGGTCGATTTACATATTTCTCCCGATTATTGTAAAATTTTTTCGCTCAGCTCTTCCTAGCGTTTGCCTCTTATAGGCCTAATTTTTTAATAATTCGTCATTTTATAGTCGAATATTTCTATCACGAATATAGGCATCATGACGAGAATATTTCGCCCGAAGCCTCCTAGGTGATCAGAGTATTTCGCTCGGATAATAGTACTTCATAATTCTTGTTCACGAGGTTAATCCACTTCGAGTGCACTCCTGATGAATCTCGTCCGACTTCGTGGGTAAAATAGTCACGAAGAGGGGGAGAGACGCTAAACGCGAACTTCTTTCAACTGCCTGCTTGCGGGCGGCTGAAGATGCTCTTGGCGAATTAAAGATTCATCGTTCTTCGCAATTACTCGAGGATTTTCCCCCGAAGGTCGCAGCGCTGACACTTGAGACTCGTATTTACGTGAAAAATTCGAATAAACCGAGGAACTATTGTTTCAATGAGCTTCAAGATCTTCTTAGTGCGAGAAGTGAGGAGATTAATTGAGTGAGCGCAACTTGGAAAGCCACAGCGTCATGTATGCAAGTTTCGTAGGAGAGCTTTGACTTTGAATTAACGCCGCGGTCTCGTTAAGAAGATTGTATACTTTACGGGTCTTATTCGGCATTCAATATTTAATTAATACTCCACCCGTGCGCGTATTCCCGTAATTTGCCGAAAATTTCCAGCACCTTTCACCGTAAGATTCGCGGGAGTTAAGAATTCGCAAGAGGGATCCCTCGCGTCTTACGATCGCGCGACGCGGTATCTGACGTTCTTACGCCCAAGTAAAATAGATAATTATTCAACGGTGATATCTCCGGCTCTCGGCTGCATAATTGAGAATGATTCACCGAGGTTGACCATAGCGTTGAAATTCTACACGACGTGCGGTTCTCATGAAGATCGCAGCTGCCAACTGTTCGATATATGTATATTCGAGCGACGACGCGCGGAATCCGCCAAATTCTCCGGTAATCTTAGCCGCGTTAATCCCATAAATCAGCCGGCCGCAATTGTAACGCCAGCGATTATAGTTACGCTTACACTTGGCGACGGCCAAGTCCCTAATCCGATCGAAACTCGACACCGGCGGGATGCGTGCTGCGGTCGTCTTTCGTAATGATCTATCGGCGCCGACAGCAACTTTGGTCCGTGGTTAGATGTTTACGGTGGATGAAGATGGATGGGCTTCCGTGATGCTACGGGAACCCGCGAAATTATATTACACGGCCATATTTAGTCGAAACACAGAGGTCACGGACTCTCTCTCTCTCTCTCTCGGTTCACCGGCTGGCACGCCGGGCCGTGCTATAATAAAGCTCGCCGTCCGGGAGCGGGTTAGCGATTCAGAGCTTGATCTTTTAAGTGAGGGTCTTTAACGCCGACGACACTCGCCGAGCGACGGGAATTATGCTCGTACTTACTTCAGACCGGCGATTATCTCCATTGCTGAATTAAAGTTCCCGGTGTTCCAACAGGTTTGCGCGACGCGTAGAAGACAGGATAGCACCGCCTGCCGTTCCTCGATCGTAGCACCGCTGGTGACAGTGTGGGTGACCCATGAGCTTACCTGATTAACAAACGTAATGACGATTAACGACTAAACCCCGAGAGTAACACCCGCGATTTTGACGCTGAAGTAACATTACAGGTTTCTCAGGCCTATTCGATATGTATCATCTATCGTGATGTACAATCAAGAAAACGTGAAAACAGGCTGAGAGCTAAAAGCTTACGCGATTGGTAGATTATTTTATACGGTTGTTGGTACATCACTTTATATGGAAGGATAAATATGTTTGACAGTGCAACGCACCCAGCTAGTTCGTCAGACTTTTGCTCTCGTTGACAATCGAACGTGCATTTGTCCTCCAATGCTCGAGTTTCAACGTCTCACACTTACAAAGTTATTATCCTACCTTATCCCAATTTCTCCTAACAATACGATCCATTTCCAATTCCAATTTCTTCTAACAAAACGATCCGTCCCCTTTAATATAAAACGTCGATGCTGAGCGTAACTTGATGGTAATCGGAAAATCCGCATTAACGTAAACTGCGTTCGATTGTCAACGGCGTCAAAGCGACTCGAGAACCGCGACGAGAGACGACCGAAATACGTTAATCCGAGTTCGTTACATCGATACAAGCACCGTTACCGATCCTGAGTGATTTCCGGCGAGACGGAAGTAGTCGTTTAGCGAGGAAGTCGGAGAACATCGTAGTTTTCCGCGAGAAATATCGTCCGGAATTTCCCGACGATTCCCTCTCTTTCCCTCTCTCTTGAGGCTTTTGTTTAGTACGGCGGTGGGAAACGAAGGGACGCGAAGGGCGAGGATGCCCAGCGTTTTCAACCTTGGGCGAGGATTTGGAGTGGGAAATGGCGGTGGGGGGATGGCGGGCGCGCAGTGAGCGAGGTCAGGTGATGTCCGTGTACCACGCACGTCGTGTGCGAGTCGGAGTAGGTGAAAGTGTCGGGCGAGAAATGTACGGAAAGCCACTGGAGGAGTGGATACCTCATTAAAAGCGACTGATGAGAGTTTCCATGAGACTGAAAACCGGAGTCTCTCTCTCTCTCTCTCCCCCTTTCTCTTACACTCTCTTGACTCGCTGATTCGCGTTTATCGCTACCTTTGCGGTTAACGCGGCTAAGCACGTCTCGCTTTCCAGTTGTTGAAGATATCGCATTGTAATAATGAGATTAACACGCTCGCTACCTACGTTTATTGGAGGATTCTTCCTACAGACCATCAAGTATTTTTCTTCTCTTTTTTGTAATTATGTGAAACAGACTCAGTTTTACAATATGGACATAGGGAAAAAGAATCTTTGCTGTCACATGTGCTGTGACAATGCAGTGAAAAACCAATTTGGTCGCATCAATCGAAAAACGGGCAATTAAATGTGATTTGGTTGAAAAAAAATGAAAAGCCAAATTTGGCTCATGTAAACAGAAATTTTGTCTTTTTTTTTCAATCAAATCTCGTCCGATCGCTCGTTTTGTGATTAATGCAACCAAACTGTTTTCTCAGTGTGGTCTATCGTGATAGATTATTGCGTCACATACGCTGAGAGGAGAAAATATCTAATAAAGACAAACGAATATTTCTTTGGTGGGTTCTGAAACGATGTTTATTTAAATCTAAAAATTTACTTTATTTTAATCGAGTATTATTTACTTAAACCGAGTAAACATTACTCGGTTTAAATAGAGAGAATTTAAATAATAAATATCGTGTAAGGACTCACCAAAGAAATATTCGTTATTTTTAGATATCTTTTTTTCTCAATGTACACTGAGAGAAATTATAATTACTTTCAGCCTCAATCATACCCTTTTTACGGTGTTAATCATAAAAATGCCAGTAGAAATATGTAAGGTTATTATCATTGTCACTATTGTAACATTTGCTAGAAAAACGGTTCCTAGTTATAATACTTCCGCTATGATTATATAATTATAGTCATAACAAATGTCAGATATTTCTCTCTCGGTGTACGCGTGACACTGGTGGCGAACGGTTAACGACGGATCCTCGCGTATCCCGACCAACCGTATCGTTTTCCGCAAACGTTTCTCGCGTCTATCTGCTTTGAAAAAAACAAACGACACGGAGAGGGGTGTTAACAGCGTCCCTCGGCGGGCCAACATACCTCATTAAAACGATTGATGAGGATCTGCACGTTCGAGAATACCGTGGCGACAGGCCAAGAGGATTCGTCCTCGGTCTGGGTCGAGCTGTTAGTGGTGCTGGGGTTGCTGCAGCTGCGACTCGGCGACGGGGGTGGCCTGGCAGGTTTCTGCGTGGTCTGATCCTGCGCCACGTGCCTTAGGTACTCGTGCGGTGGTACCTGGTAGAACAGCTGGTACTCGCTCTCCGTCAACCTGAGCGCCACCTCCTCGGGGAAGTGCAGCAGCTTGTGCAGATCCTCCAGCTCCTCAGAGCTCCGAGGCGGCTGCGGCTGCGGCCCCTTCTCCAGCTCTGAAATCATCCACGTTTTTCGTATCTCCACGTGTGTTTTTCTTCCGACGTAACGTGCACCATTTTTCATCCCCTCCTCGGGACTCGAGAGGGGAGACGAGTTACTTTACTGTATAATGTCCCTCTATCGCCCCGGGGCGAGTGTATTCCGAAATCGAGGCTTTCAAACGTGACATCGCACGCGCCGCTGGTAAGATAGAACGGGGTAGTTTAGCTCTGAGACATTTTCCGATGGCGCGCGTAATCGCGCAGGAAAGATAAAAATGCAGGGAATCATGTTTTATTGAAAACTGCCGTTTCAGCAGGAAGCGGATACGTTCGCGCGCGCGTAAGCTTCTCCCGGTATCGTCAATAATTCTTTTGTATGCGAGACGTTTCGCGGCGTCTACTGTTATATACTCGCTTCAAAGCATCCGACGTTGCAATATCGAGTCGCGACCGATCTTTCTCGAAGCTTTCCCGAAGAGCTTTCTCAAAGAGCGGGATAATCTTAGGCCGTGACGCGACCTTCGATGTCGAAGAGTTATATATTCAGTCTCGATTAGTGATTCTCGGGCACTTAACGTCGCTGGGAAATTGAACGGTGAATTTGCGCGCTTGTCAGTTGGGTTTTCAAAGCCGCGCGCGCGCGGTTCGACTTTACACGGTAAATATTTACGATAGCGTGCATTTCGTTGAAATAATGCTCTTTTATTTAGACGGTGATTTTTATTTACACAATCACTTCCCACGCGTTCGCATCGGAATTTATGAAACGCGCGTTGAAATCAGGTCGCACTTAATGAACTGCGATAATCTTTGTCTGCAATTACATTTAAATCCGGTATTAGTGATATTTATTAAATTGTCCGCATTATAATTCGAGTATGTGTACAAATCTATAATGAAATTTGCAGATAATTAATGAATATTTCATCCGGTTTATTTCGCATCCGGCAACTGCATCGCTGATGATTCACGTGTCGAGCGTGCCAATTCGCGAAAGAAACAACACAGCCCGATTTTTTTGCCCATCGTTTCGCATTTGCCGCGTGGAAAGGTCAGCCCGGCGATGGTTTTTCGTTGGGCGCGAGCGATGCACGAAATTCAACGCGATCGACGAATAAAAGCACCCTTTAGGTCTTCGATGAATAATTCCGCGCTGCGGGTATCGAGCTCTCTCTATCGTTGATGCCGCGAAATAAAAACGGAGTTTGCGATATTTTGAATTCCGACACCGGCTACGAGACAAACTAACGGTCCGCGAAACAAAAAAAAACCCAGCAAAAAAGAGCCGTATGTTTGCGTGATCAGGAAAGTTCGCGAATTAGAATTTCAAAGGCGCCCCGGGATATATCCGCTATTAGCAGATGTTTCAGATCGTCGTGCGATAGAAAGACGGACAGAAAAAAAGGGTGAAAAGGGGGGGAGGGGGGAGAAGGAAAGACCTGTTTTTTTAAACTCGCGCGCGCTTCTTTTTTCTTCAGCGATAAAGACCGTAATACCCAGTTTATGTCACCCGTTAGCGCGAAAGTGCGAGGCGAGAGTTTTAAAAGACGTGCGTAAAGCCGCTACGTGGCAGCAATTTTAAACCTGACCCAGTTCCCTTAAAAACGATTAAGAACGCTGCGTCTCGTTAGACCCGAGTACCGGCATAATGCGTGCTTACGAGACGGCGCTAAATTATGCGAGTGCATTCATTCGCAGCGACATCAGGGTGCCGCGGAGTAATTCGAGGTATCTCGAATATTGCGAGCCCCGTACATACTCGCCCCCGGCAATAGAATAATGTTCACGGTCCTGAGTGATATTACTCGTTGCATATTTTTGTTCCGCACGCGCGCGCGCGAGACTGCTAGTTATTTTTGCACGCGCGACGTTATTTCACACGTGATTTTCAAGGCGCTTTCGGATGTCGAATTTGCGTCCGTTAATTCCCGACACGGTGTGAAACGTCGCGCCGTCGGGATTTGCGAAAAGCACGGCGAGTTTGACATTTCAGTAATAAGTACGATCGTGCAAATTGACGAAATTGCGAATCGACGGGAGGGAATCCAAATCTCTGAAGTCTCGACAAAATGCTTCAGGATCAACGTTTCATCTCGTTATCTCGCGTGCACAGGGAAAGATAATTGGTTGAATTGACGTGACCTGATAAACGCGTTTTAGCGGGAAAATAGAATTTTTGATTCTTAGTAGAGAACAATCTATCTTGGCCAACCACGCTTATTTTCGAGTCTTTAATTCACTCCGGTTCGCGAGACCGCTCGACTTTGTCGCCTCGTCATTTTTATCCTAATTAATATTTTTAAGTTTGTAATGTTGGAAATACAGAGTCTGAATAAGATGATTTACGATATCGGGCCAAGGAAAGGGTCAAGATTTTGGTTTAAACTAAACTTATTATTACAAAAAAAAATAGTTTTCGAGAAAAAATTCCCAAATGGTCTAGCAAATGCGATTTGAAGAGATTTAAGTTCGCTCGTTGTAGCGAACACTTGACATTAAAAGAAAAGAAACAGTATGCCACATAAAAATGAGGAAACCAAGAAACGCTCGGCGGTCTATCGGGCCGGAATGTGACGAGCCAGGGTTGAGAACTGAATTTGGCTCGCGGGAGAATCCCCAGAAATCCTGTTTCTTTCCAGCAAAACGCGTTTAGCCGCGTCAGGTCACGTTAATTCGGGCAATTTGTTTTTTTCCGCGCAGCAGGCGTTAACGGGGTTAACTCCCGGCCGTTTCTCTCACGAGGACGTAAACCGTCGAATTTTGCGGCCGGTCTGCGCGCGCCTTGCTGGGAAGGGTGCACCGCAACAATATCAGCAATTACTCTCGCATGGAACTTACCCTCGCGCGTAACTCGCGCGCTAAGTAGGACGTTGGGCGGCTTCGCGCTGTTTACTCCCTAACTCGTTGCGGGATACAATTCCTCGAGCGATGTTTGAGAAGGGCATACATCTTAAACCGGGTAATCGCCGATGCCGCGATACGGGTCTTGTTTCTGCGTGCATTGCTCTTATGCAAGTCAATTATCGTGACCGACAGATGGACTGGTCGTAAGGTCTGCGCGTATGTGTGTGCGTGTGTGTGTGTTTACGTGTCTGTATATGCACACTCGTCCATCAACGTCTTCGAGTAAACGGCCTGCTAAGGATCTTGAGCCCCCGTGCAAACAAACACCGAGTGTGGACAGAATAGTCGGTTAGACCGAGCCGGCCGTGGCGTGCCCCGATGTACTCGCAGCCAATCGGCGAGCCATATCAGATAGCGGTACGATAACCCGATGAAGAGATTAATCAACATACCGGATTAAGAACGCAAATGGCTCTCCCATTATCATAGCGCACCTTCGATCGAATCTCGTTCGCTCCCCGGACTTTTCAGGTCGGTCAGCACGTTCGTGCGCCGATCGCCGGGAAATTCGACTGTTTTCTTTCTTTATCTCGTCGGTATTACGGGTCGATCGTGAAAATGATTTCCGTGTCCTAAATATGCACGGGGAAATGCGAGGCCCCGAGAGGGCTCTCGCTCCTTTTAGCGACTTCCTCTGCAATCAGCTCGGCGGAATTCACGCGTGAACGGCACTTACATCGCCGAAGCTACAATGGCACCTCTTTGCCAATATTTAATAAAGCGATTTATGCTCGTTACAAGGTGGATAGCATCAAAGAACGTTATTAACGTGCATCGACATGCCGACATGCGAACACGAAGGAGAGTTCGAGTCAGATGGAAGGAGAAGGAGGAAAGAGACCCGATAACTGGGTTAAGTTTATCATCTCGGGGCAATCTGTCACTTTTAACGGCGCATTTACATCCCGCCGTAATCATCCCGCCAGGAGTATAACGTTAAGCACTTGCTTCCGATAAAGCTTACCTTATCAGGTGATGGTGCGGCCACGTGGGGTGGAGGAAATGGAAGTGGCTGGGTCTGTCGCCGTCGACAGGTACGAGAGATCTCCGTGGAATCGCCGGGCCCGCCAGTGGAATTAGCCCGACGACCAGGTCGGGTAATCCCCGCGTAGTTTCGCGGCCTGCATCAGGACGGTTCCATCGATACGTAGCCGATGGAAGCCACTTTCACGCCCTTCTTCCTCGCCCGGCTTTTGCCTCCGTTGTCGTATTGGCGGTCCTCAAGCCGAGCCGCGCGTCGACCGCGACCTGAGGGCGAGACAGGAGCGAAAAAAGATGAGCTCTCGTAGTCGAGACTTGGATTTATTATCGGGAGAAGAGAAGAGCGGACTCTCGCGTGTAAGAGCGCCGGGGAGCAGAGACAAAGAGAGAGAGAGAGAGAGAGAACGATTTATGGTCCTTCGGCGAATCCACCGAAACCCATTCGAACACCGTGTCTCATCTTTCCGTGCGTCCTCGAGAACGAGATCTCTCTTTTAGGAAGTCGCGCTGGCAGATTTATCACGTAGGATTTTTGAGGAGCTGGGGGGAGGAGGGGAGGGTGTCGGTTAATGAGCAACCTACGTGGTAGTTCTTGAGTCAATATGCGCCGTAACCGGAAATAGCGCTGACGCGCTCGGAGAGGAGGAAATCCGCGAGAAAAACCGCGTCATTCGCACACTCGCACGGCAGTCGGCAAAAACTGTAACGGGAGCGTTGTCGGAACTCAGAGAGGTCACGTTGATTTTTGTGATGTGCGTTTCATGCGGGTTTCATCAGTGGTGTATACCAAGCGTGCTTCGACGTTTCCCATCGAGCGATATTAGCCCTCATCTAACAAGGTTTAAGTGATCACATTTTCCACTAGGTGAGTCGGACCCGATCGGTAAAAGCGTCTTGCAGCTTTTTCAACAAATTTTTCCGATCAGACACTTTTATTCCCACAATAAGTTAGAAAATATTTAAAAGCAAATAACATATGTCGCAAAATGGATAAAACACCTGAAATATAAGATACATTGCAATATTTATATGTTTGGCGGAAACCTTAGAAAACTTATCTTTGGATATTTAACCTATTAGTTTTGTTTAAGAAAAATTAATATAATAATATAAATATGTAATA